GGGGCTGATGTTGTATTCTTTACTTTTAATCGATTATCGACAGTATTCTTGTGTATTATATACAGTGATTTATACATTTATTACATATTTTACTATTTTTATATTAAAAACAGTAAAATATGTAATTGTTTATACAAAATTAAATTAAATACATACTAATGTATAAGTGTGTAATAAGTGTAGTGCCTATTTTTATTATTTTACGTGTTATTATACTCATTTTTTAACCAACACCGAAAGAACACTGAAATCTCACTGATTTTATTTAATTAATTTTATAATAAATAATTGTTATTTTTCAATAAAAATGACAATATTTATTCATTAATACATCTAAAATCAGATACAATTGAGATAGATTGGTTTTTTATTCATTTCATGTTTTTATTAGCAGATCACCGAGCCAACACCGAACGAGCACCGAGTCAACACCGAATTCAGTGTTCGTTCAGTGTTCCAAATCTGCTAGGGAATATTTTAAACTACCAAATAAATCTAACAAATACAATAAATTATAATTAAACAATTTTTAAATAAAATAAGAAACAATAAATAATGCATACTTATGCCTTTATAATCGTAAAATAATAAATTATATAAGAAAGATACTAATAATGACTTGAACTATTCCAGATGGAAATTCCATTCATTGGATATTTTACCGACAATGGAATTATTTAACGAAAGAGGATAGGACTTAAAAATTTCAAAAAAAAATTTATTGTTTCAAAAACATTAAAAGTTCCAAAAATCATGTAAACAATTGCAGCGCCACCTTTCAATAAACATTAAACTATTCATGAATCTGGAATAAAACTTCAATACTAGACTACACCCCTGACTACGTATCGACCGCAACCATCGATCAACATTATACCGCAGCGCCACATACTACATGTCAAACATAGAACTACACAAAAACTGCAGAATGCAGTCACATTCTCAAAACTCAAAATGACATCTAACAAGTAATATTTAGATTGAAATTGTTAATTAAATTAGAATAAACAAATAAACTAATTAAAATTAAACAATAATAATAATAATAATAATACATGTAAAACTTATATTAATTTAACAAATTCAATCTAATAAAACTTCTACATAATGCGCTTGCGCAAACTAAAATGTCACAAAACATGATTAATTTATTGGTATTATTACCAAATTATATTACTAAAAATTTAATCTTTTGCAATTCAATAAACTACACAGGCACACAAAAAAAAAGTTGTCTGTTTCTTGAACTAGACATATATTTCCTACAGTATTTTGGCCCGCTGAAACCGAATCTGTGCTCAGAATTGCTCCATCACCTTCAGTTTTTTTTTCAATCGACCAAAACCACCCTTAAATGGACAAATTCACACTTCGGAGATAAGAAATAAATCAACTTATTTTTTTAAAAAATCGAATTTTACATCTAAGAAACTTTGCTCCACTAACTCAAAAACAAAGCCAGCATTGATCCAGCACCCCCTGAATTTTTTTAATTGAAAAACTACCCCTAATCTGCAGAATCAAATTAAGGAGATAAAACAATAAAATAACTGATTGACAAATTTTATAACCAGATATTTTTACTCCAGCAATGCAGAAACAAAGCTAGAAATGCTCCCTCACCCACTAAATTTTTTTTTAAATCGAAAAACCACCCTTAAATAGAAAAATTCAAATTTAAGAAGTAAAAAAATATTAAATTACCGGCTTTTTTTCAAAACAGAACCTAACATGTATGTAGTTTGGCTCTACTAACTCAAAAAAATAAAGCCAGCATTGATCCACCACTCTCTGAATTTTTTTAAATCGAAAAAACTACCCCTAATTTGAAGAATCAAATTAAGGAGATAAAACAATAAAATAACTGATTGACAAATTTTATAACCAGATATTTTTACTCTAGCAATGCGGAAACAAAGCCAGAAAAGCTCCCTCAACCTCTAAAATTTTTTTAAATCGAAAAAACTACCAAAGAATCAAACTTAGAAGGTAATACAATATAATTATATTGTGTTACCTCCTAAGTTTGATTCTTCAGGTTAAGGGTAGTTTTTTTGATTAAACAAATTCAGAGGGTGATGGATCAATGCTGGCTTTATTTTTTTGAATTAGAAGAGCAAAACTACATACATGTAAGGTTCTGTTTTAAAAAAAAGCCGGTAATTTAATATTTTTTTACTTATTAAACTTGAATTTTTCTATTTAAGGGTGGTTTTTCGATTTAAAAAAAATTTAGAGGGTGAGGGACCATTTCTGTCTTTGTTTCTGCCTTGCTGGAGTAAAAATACCTGGTTATAAAATTTTTTAATGAGTTATTTTATTGTTTTACATCCTGAATTTGATTCTTCAGATTAGGGGTAGTTTTTTCGATTTAAAAAAATTCAGAGGGTGGTGGATCAATGCTGGCTTTATTTTTTTGAGTTAGTAAAGCAAAGCTACATACATGTAAGGTTCTGTTTTAAAAAAATGCCGGTAATTTAATATTTTTTTACTTTTTAAATTTGAATTTTTCTATTTAAGGGTGGTTTTTCGATTTAAAAAAAAATTAGTGGTTGAGGGAGCATTTCTGGCTTTGTTTCTGCATTGCTGGAGTAAAAATATCTGGTTATAAAATTTGTCAATCAGTTATTTTATTGTTTTATCTCCTTAATTTGATTCTGCAGATTAGGGGTAGTTTTTTCAATTAAAAAAATTCAGGAGGTGCTGGATCAATGCTGGCTTTGTTTTTGAGTTAGTGGAGCAAAGTTTCTTAGATGTAAAATTCGATTTTTTAAAAAAATAAGTTGATTTATTTTTTATCTCCGAAGTGTGAATTTGTCCATTTAAGGGTGGTTTTGGTCGATTTAAAAGAAACTGAGGGTGATGGAGCAATTCTGAGCACAGATTCGGTTTCAGCGGGCCAAAATACTATAGGAAATATATGTCTAGTTCAAGAAACAGGCAACTTTTTTTTTGTGTGCCTGTGCTATTAATTACACAGCCCCACAAAAAAAAAAAGTGTCATGTACTTTTGACCGGAATACCCTAACCCTATGTATTTTGACGCGCTGAACACGAATCCGAAGTCCGTTTTGCTCCATCACGTCAGGATTTTTTTCTAACCTCAAAAAACATGTCGGATTTTGTGAAGTAGGCGATTTTTTTAAAAATTGATGTATTAACTTCAAACTTGGTATCTGGGGGTTTTTTGTGTCGCTGATTACGAATCTGAAGTTAGATTTTCAAAATCCAAAATGGCGGATCCAATATGGCGGACGAATTTTGAAAAAATTTTAAGATTTACTTCAAACTTGGTATCTAGGGGTTTTTTGGGTCGCTGATTACGAATCTGATGTCAGATTTCTGAAATTCGACATGTCTGATTCAATATTAAGGAATTGTTTTTAAAAAATTGTCAGATTATTATGAAATTTGGTATCTACAGGTTTTCTAAGTTGCTGACAAGTAACACTAGGGAAGTGCCATACGACGATTTTTCTGAAACTTGGCAGTTTTGTAGTTTTTTAAAAACAATTTGACACGTATGTTTTGTTTTTCCGCAAAATATTCGTAATCAGCGACCCAAAAAACCCACAGATACAGATAATGGCGTATCTAATATGTCCGATAGAAGTCCATGTTGGATATGCCATTTTGAATTTTTCAAATCTGACATCATATTCGTAATCAGCGACCCAAAAAACCCCCAGATACCAAGTTTGAAGTAAATCTTAAAATTTTTTCAAAATTCGTCCGCCATATTGGATCCGCCATTTTGAATTTTGAAAATCTAACTTCAGATTCGTAATCAGCGACACAAAAAACCCCCAGATACCAAGTTTGAAGTTAATACATCAATTTTTAAAAAAATCGCCTACTTCTCAAAATCCGACATGTTTTTTGAGGTTAGAAAAAAATCCTGACGTGATGGAGCAAAACGGACTTCGGATTCGTGTTCAGCGCGTCAAAATACATAGGGTTAGGGTATTCCGGTCAAAAGTACATGACACTTTTTTTTTTTGTGGGGCTGTGTTATTAATTAAAGTAAACAAATTAAGTATATCTTTAAATTATAAGTAATAATTATCAATAATACAAATAAATTAATCTAAGCAACCTAATTTAATAATGCGTTCAATTGTGTATGAACCTTAAAGTATTACGTTTAAGAGGTTCATACCAATGCGACTATCAACTAACTTCACTCTATAACGCGCCTCACGCAATGTCATAATATAAAGTCTTTACACCTCGAATTAACCTACCGTGCATTATACTGTATGTTTCGACTACGATTATCGACCCTAACAAAGCATCGTAGCGCCATGAAGAATATGTTAAATAAAGAACTAAGTTGTAACTAACCAATGTAGTCACATTTATGATCAAAAGTAAAACCTAATAATTATAGTTATGATTAAAACTGTTAAATAATATAATTTGGATAATAACAAATTAAAATTCAATTTTAAATAATCATTAAATTACGTAAATATTAATTTTAATCTAAAAAATTTAGTCATGACTATAAAATACTAAACTGTATAATTGCGCATGCGCTAACTCAAATATTACGAAATTCATAAAGATAATATCAAATTACTATTAATCCTAGTACTAAACTATTGATAAATTAAAGCAATATAAATTAAAGTAGTAAAAATGTATATTAATTACATGTATTTAATTATACAGATAGATTATTCACGCATATAAAGCATTCAAAAAAAAAAAAGAATTTTATTTTACTAATAAAAAGAAACAGGATTAATTTAAATGCATTTTAATTAATCTCATACATTATTAAAATTTTGTATTTTTAGTAATATTGAATTTAGTAAAATTTAAAGGAAGGAATGATGAAAGGAAAATAAAATATTTTTCTAATTAATACATTGTCAAAACTTAGTAAATAATATTATATTATAATAATTATACTAAATAGAGAAAACATGAGAAACTAATGTAAGAGAAATAAGACTTTAAAATGGAACGAACAAACAATCAAAAAAAAAAAGTTTTTAAAATTCGTCCTCTTCTATTTTTACAATACTATGCAAAGAACTCGGTCCTGGAACAGGTTCATAGTCATCTGTCACATCTGGTTCCGAAGCTGAGGTCGATGAGTCAGAATACAACAAACCCCGACGACAACCACAAGGAGCATCATCAACCAAAAACATGCCACACATACAGATTTTATTGAAACTATCTGGAATCCTAAAACAATATGAAATTATAGATTACATTTTATTATGTTATAAACCATAAAATCATAAAATCTTACCCTTGACATATGGATGTGTTGGGAACGTCCAAATGTTTACAATTGTTTGACAATGGGGGATTGTCAACGACGGAAGATACAACCATGGCATTTAATTCGCTTACATTCTTTTGAATGAATTCCCATATTTGTTGATATTCTTCTATTTCGGAACATAAAAATGGAACAGAATTTGATGAAGATGCAATGTTTTTGCGTAGACGACCTCGTTTTTTTTCGCAAAGTCATGTGGTTAACTGGAGCCTCCAAATAATTCCGCACACTAATTGCCAAATTTAACAAACGACTCATCTCTGTTATTAAAAAATACATTTTGGCCAAAATTGCAGCTGAAGGACGAGCCGATCTTCTATATCTTGAAGTCACTGTAAACATAAATGAAAAATAGAAAGGAATAATTGAACATTAATAAATATCTACATGATAACCATGCAGTTCAAAGAGAAAAGAGTTTAAAAAAATGTTTTTTTTAGTTCTAAATTTTTAACACGCACTAATACGCCCTTACGTCTACTACCAAGTTCACGAACTACACTACCGTCTGAAATTGTGCGAACTCTGCTTTTTCAACAACTATAAAACTGTTCAAATCTTCAAAAATATTAAAACTAAAATTTTTTCCTCTTTATTTTATTAAAGTTAATAAAATTCTGAAAGAAATGACACCTTGACAAAGAGAATATGTTAATTTTTCAATTAGATATCTAAGAAAAACCCAATTTTCAATGTTTTTACTATTTTTTTTATTTCTCTGGCAAAAATTAATATTTTTAAACGTTCTTAGGCTCATTGAAATCGTATTTTGTTATGCAATTCAAATTATATAAAACAATTCATGTACACATTCCTCCCTAGCATATGCAAACCATGAAAGTTGTCTCATAAAATGTCAAAAAATTGTGATTAATATTTATATGACAAAAAATGATCAGTAAAATGTCAAAAAATTTAAATTTACTTACATAAATCAGAGAAGTTTAGAATTATATATTTACTTGATTTTGAAACATTATAATTTATTGTAGAATTAAATTTAAATTTTTTGACATTTTATGAGCAAACTTTCACGGTTTGCATACGCTAGGGAAGAATGAGTACATGAATTGTTTTATATAATTTGAATTGCATAACAAAATACGATTTCAATGAGCCTAGGAACGTTTAAAAATATTAATTTTTGCAAGAGAAATAAAAAAAATAGTAAAAACATTGAAAATTGGGTTTTTCTTAGATATCTAATTGAAAAATTAACATATTCTCTTTGTCAAGGTGTCATTCCTTTTAGAATTTTATTAGCTTTAATAAAATAAAGAGGAAAAAATTTTAGTTTTAATATTCTTAAAGATTTGAACAGTTTTATAGTTGTTGAAAAAGCAGAGTTCGCACAATTTCGGACGGTAGTGTATTTTATAGTCATCTTCAGAAAACTTTTAATTAAAAATTAATTCACATAAAACGTTTATCGCTCTTTTTGGCACTACTTTCCAAAAGGCGAATTCAAAAACCCCAAGTCTCTCTTCCAATTCCACAATTCTTTCAATGATCAAACGTTGTTGATTTATATACGCAAGATTAGATCGTGAAACATCTATCTAATTATCAACTACATTGTTTGATGATACAGAAGGTTCTTCAGAATCAGTAATCAAATTTTCTGTATTTGAAAAAGTGTTCGAAAATTCTAACAAATTTAAGTCAAAGGCACCAATAGAATCTTGGAAGGGTTCAATATTAAAATCAAAATCAATCTGGTTTTCCATCACTTACACAAAAAAAAACTTTAATAAATCAACACTCGCGACACTATTAATGACAACGACGATGCAGATTTAAACAGAGCAAGAGAAGAAATGAAATATACTTACCAGGAGGTAATTGCCTATCCCTTAATAAAGGCAGAGGTAGCATTTTTTCCACACAATAATTAATCAAATTGACTGTAGAGGTATCACTTGATACAGAACCACAATCTTCCATAGTACAAAGGCAACTAAAACTCATTTTGATGACAAAGAACAAAGGTTTAGATGAATGTCACCATGAAAAAACTGATGACAACCATATAATTGACTTACTGACTAAACTCACGTACGCAAAAGATTGTTTATATATTTAAAGGAATGTAAAGTCTCTTACATCTGTATCTTATTGTTTCCCTCGTCAGCAAATTCTTATAAAATGATAACTAGTAAAGAAAGGTAAAAGAAAGATAATAATGTAAAATAAATTCCATAGATCAGTAAAAATGTTAAGTTAAAGATATAATATAGTAATAAAGAAATGATCTTCTTTGAGGACAAAGAATAAATTAAGGAGGGAGGACTGTTACATCCCGACATAGCTAAAACGTTGATAGTTTTAGTTATGCGCCTGTAATTATGCAATCTTATTATGGTGATTGCATTTGATGTATTAAGTTGTATATAAATATTGCTATATAAATGCGTTTATTTTATCCAATTATAGAAATAGAGTTTAATATTAATTTCGGTAAATAAAAATCTATACATATTGTATCGATTGAACTAGATGTATTATAATGATAATTTGCAGTCGGTTTATTATCTACATTAAGTAGGATAAAATACCGACAGTGACTAATTAAATGACTATACAACAGTCAGTGCCTTACCATTCAATTATATATATATATATATATATATATATATATATATCTTAAGATATAGATTGTGTGTATATATCTTAAGAAGGTAAAATAAGTTATAAGTTGAAAATAATAAAAACTCCATTCATTGATTATTTAATTGTTTAAACAATAAATAATGCATTAATGTTATATTACGTAATTACGTTATAATTATAATAAGGTTATAATCACTAATTATTTATTAATAGAGAAAATCATGATTTAAGAATTTATAGCTGATCGACAGTCAATAGTTATCGATAAACCTATTGACAAACCAATAATTACATTATAAAATATAACTCAATAAAAGATATAATTAATAAAATAAATATAAATTAATTATAACTCTATTAACAAATGATGTACCTGACTTTTGCGCTATTAACTGCTGTACGTGACTTTTGGGGTTTTTGTAAACTATGATCCATCAATAAATTAGAATATAAACCCCCATTTTTCTAATGGGGTTGTCAATTCTTCAGACGAGTTTCTGCCCGAACGGTGTCTTTAATTCGGCCCTTCGATTTCGTAATTGTTTACTATTCATTGCTGTTAATCGTGAATTTCGTGAACTTCTTAATTTCTTATTATTATTTAAAAGTTCATATTTTCATTGTATTTCAAAAACAACATTTTAGTGTAAATTTAAACAATTCTTAATTGTCGTAAAATTCAAATTGTGAAGCTGTAATAAAAGCGAATTGTATCATTAATAATTACGACGCATCCAAAGTCTCACTTCTGTAATCCTGGTTGCAGCTTGTTACATTACTGTATCAACGCATCAATTGTAAGTACTTTTATAATTAACAAATGTTTCTAATAAATTGTCAGTCATAAAAAGGAATATCTCTCTTGAATTATTTAAAACAAAACCCTTAGTCTTGAGAAAGTGACGCGATCCTGCATTAAAAATAAATATCATATTTTATTATTATAAATAATAAATAAACTCTACCTTAGCTCGCGACGTAACAGTCCTCATTTTCGTTCTTAACTTAGTCCTCAACTTTCTCCTTATCTTCGTATTTGAGTAAGTCCTCATGTTCGTCCTCATTTTCGTATAAGTTAGTCCTCATCTTCGCCCTCATTTTGGTTTGTCAGTTAGTGCTCATCTTTGTCATCAACTTCGTCCTCATTTTCGCTTCAAGTTTGTCTTTAACTTTGTCCTTATATTCGTTCTCAAGTTAGTCCTCATTTTCGTTATCAAGTTACTCCTCAACTTCGTCCTCATTTTCGTTTATAAGTTAGTCCTCAATTTCGTTTTTGAGTTAGTCCTCAAATTCGTCCTCATTTTCGTTCTTAAGTCAGTCCTCAACTTCATCCTTATTTTCGTAATTGAGTTAGTCCTCATGTTCGTCCTCATTTTTGTTTCAAATTAGTCCTCAACATTGTCCTCATTATCGTTTTTGAGTTAGTCCTCGTGTTCTTCCTCATTTTCGTTTTAAGTTAGTCTTCAACTTCCTCCTTATTTTCGTTCTCAAGTTAGTCCTCAACTTCGTTCTCATTTTCGTTCATAAGTTAGTCCGCATGTTCTTCCTCATTTTCGTTTTAAGTTAGTCTTCAACTTCGTCCTTATTTTCGTTCTCAAGTTAGTCCTCAACTTCGTCCTCATTTTCGTTATCCAGTTAGTCCTCAACTTCGCCCTCATTTTCGTTTCTAGTTAGTCCTCAACTTCATCCTCATTTTCGTTCATAAGTTAGTCCGCATGTTCGTTCTCATTTTCGTTTAAAGTTAGTCCTCAACTTAGTCCTACTTTTCGTTTTTGAGTTAATCCTTATGTTCGTCTTCATTTTCGTTTCAAGTTAGTGCTCAACTTCGTCCATATTTTCGTTTGTCAGTTAGTGCTCATATTTGTCATCAAATTTGTCCTTATTTTTGTTTTTCAGGTTACGCCACATTTTCGACCTCATTTTCGTTTCAAGTTAGTGCTCAACTTCGTCCTCATTTTCGGCCGCCAGTTAGTTTTTAACTTTGTTCTCAAATTTGTCCTCATTTTTGTTTTTCAGGAAAGTCCTCAACTTCGTCCTCGTTTTGTTCATAAGCTAGTCCGCATGTTCGCCCTTATTTTCGTTTCAAGTTAGTCCTCAATTTTGTCCTCATTTTCGTTATCAAGTTACTCCTCAACTTCGTCCTCATTTTAGTTCATAAGTTAGTCCTCATTTTCGTTACAAGTTAGTCCTCAACTTCGTCCTCAATTTGGCCTTCATTTTTTTCAAGTTAATCATCAACTTCGTCCTTATTTTCGTTTTTGAGTTAGTCCTCATTTTCGTTTCAAGTTAGTCCTCAACTTCGTCCTCAATTTCGTTATCAAGTTAGTCCTCAACTCCGTCCTCATTTTCGTCCTTAAGTTAGTCCTCAACTTAGTCCCAATTTTCGTTTTTGAGTTAATCCTCATGTTTTTCCTTATTTTTGTTATCATTAGTGCAAAACTTCGTTATCATTTACGGCCGCCACTTAGTTCTCATCTTTGTTCTTAAATTTGTCCTCATTTTTGTTTATCAGGTAAGTCCTCAACTTAGTACTTATTTTCGTTTCTAGATAATCCTCAACTTTTTCCTCATTTTCGTTCCAAGATAGTCCTCAACTTCGTCCTCATCTTCGTTCCTAGTTACTCCTCAACTTCGTCCTTATTTTCGTTTTTGAGTTAGTCCTCAAATTCGTTTTCATTTTCGTTCTCAAGTCAGTCCTCAACTTCATCCTTATTTTCGCAATTGAGTTAGTCCTTATGTTCGTCCTCATTTTTGTTTCAAATTAGTCCTCAACTTTGTCCACATTATCGTTTTTGAGTTAGTCCTCATGTTCTTCCTCATTTTCGTTTTAAGTTAGTCTTCAAATTCCTTCTTATTTTCGTTCTCAAGTTAGTCCTCAACTTCGTTCTCATTTTCGTTCGTAAGTTAGTTCTCATTTTCGTTTCAAGTTATTCCTTAACTTAGTCCTTTTTTTCGTTCACAAGTTTGTCCTCAACTTCGTCCTCATTTTCGTTACAAGATAGTCCTCAACTTCGTCCTCAATTTGCCTTCATTTTTTTCAAGTTAATCATCAACTTCGTCCTTATTTTCGTTTTTGAGTTAGTCCTCATTTTCGTTTCAAGTTAGTCCTCAACTTCGTCCTCATTTTCGTTATCCAGTTAGTCCTCAACTCCGTCCTCATTTTCGTTTTAAGTTAGACCTCAACTTAGTCCTACTTTTCGTTTTTGAGTTAATCCTTATGTTCGTCCTCATTTTCGTTATCAAGTTACTCCTCAACTTCGTCCTCATATTCGTTCATAAGTTAGTCCTCATTTTCGTTTCAAGTTATTCCTTAACTTAGTCCTTTTTTTCGTTCACAAGTTTGTCCTCAACTTCGTCCTCATTTTCGTTATCCAGTTAGTCCTCAACTTCGTCCTCATTTTGGTATGTCAGTTAGTGCTCATCTTTGTCATCAACTTCGTCCTCATTTTCGCTTCAAGTTTGTCTTTAACTTTGTCTTTACATTCGTTCTCAAGTTAGTCCTCAATTTCGTCCTCATTTTCTTTTTAAGTTAGTCTTCAACTTCGTCCTCATTTTCGTTATCCAGTTAGTCCTCAACTTCGTCCTCATTTTCGTTTCTAGTTAGTCCTCAACTTCATCCTCATTTTCGTTCATAAGTTAGTCCGCATGTTCGTTCTCATTTTCGTTTCAAGTTAATGATCAACTTCGTCCTCATTTTCGGTCGCCAGTTAGTTCTCATCTTTGTCATCAAATTTGTCCTCATTTTTGTTTTTCAGGTAAGTCCTCAACTTCGTCCTCATTTTCGTTATCCAGTTAGTCCTCAACTTCGTCCTCATTTTCGTTTCTAGTTAGTCCTCAACTTCATCCTCATTTTCGTTCATAAATTAGTCCGCATGTTCGTTCTCATTTTCGCTTCAAGTTTGTCTTTAACTTTGTGCTTATATTCGTTCTTAAGTTAGTCCTCAACTTCGTCCTCATTTTCGTTTCTAGTTAGTCCTCAACTTCATCCTCATTTTCGTTCATAAGTTAGTCCGCATGTTCGTTCTCATTTTCGTTTCAAGTTAATGATCAACTTCGTCCTCATTTTCGGTCGCCAGTTAGTTCTCATCTTTGTCATCAAATTTGTCCTCATTTTTGTTTCTCAGGTAAGTCCTCAACTTCGTCCTCATTTTCGTTTCAAGTTTGTCTTAAACTTTGTCCTTATTTTCGTTCTCAAGTTAGTCCTCATTTTCGTTATCAAGTTACTCCTCAACTTCGTCCTCATTTTCGTTCATAAGTTAGTCCTCATTTTCGTTTCAAGTTATTCCATAACATAGTCCTTTTTTTCGTTCACAAGTTTGTCCTAAAACTTCGTC